TCGTCAGAGTCAAATCACTGCCCGTTGACTTGATGTCCTTGTCATTTCCAGTCCCCTCCACATCGTTTGGACAGCCATGACTCAGCCAGCACATGTATTCTGCTGCCTCTTCCTCTGTATTAATCCCATGCCTCATGGCTACTGTCTGAACAGTCTCCTTCAGCTGCCTTGTTGCCAGTAATTGAAGTCACCCCTTTGTGCACATACCTCTTTGAATTTACTTGAGGACAACCTTTTTGCCCTCAAGCCTGTTCAGCCTGTTCCTGAATTTCCTCTTCATGCAATGAGATTGGTCTTGAGTTACACTTAGCACTGCCATAAAATTCCGTAGTTCCTAGGCAAGTACAAATGCAAACTGGCTAACATGCTCTGGAATATGAAACGCTGGTGGCCTTTCTGGCCATCAATGTTCATATGAATTTTAGGGTAATTTGTGAATTTCTGTTTTTTTTTTTGTGGGTAGGATAAAACAGAGCCACCAGCACAGCCACCTTACACCTTACAGATTTTTCTATTGACAAGTCCTAAATTGTCATCTACCTTAAGTGCTAATAAAGATAACCCCCTGGCAAAGATGAAGACTTAATTTCCTGGCTGAAGCCATAAGATAACTGATTTAGAGAGAGATATGCTCAAACAAAGAAACAACTGCAATGCTTGAAAGAACAAAAGGAAGTGATGAAATGTCAACCAAATTTTCTTCAAAGGCAATTTCTGGTATTGTGTATGCCTTTAAGGAATATGAATCATCAGAGCTGGATGATCAGTCTCAATGATAGCCAAGGGTGGAATGATAAAAATTGGTGTGAATAAATCTTATTTCATCAGAGCTGAATAATCAGTCCTGTTCACCTCAGCAGCATATATACATAACAAGGAGAGATGGATTATTTGATTTACAAATATATGGTTGTATATACAGATGCTATTACATTTGAGTTGAATGAGTAAAAGGCGGAGGGATGGTGGTGGACAGTTTAATACCTCAACGAACCATCTCTTTTTAAAGCTATTTTATTCAACAAGGACTACATTTAATACTTTACAATAATCGAGATCAACTGACTCCTAGCAAAATGAAACTAAAATCACTGTAATATATTCTTCTTTGCTGTTTAATGTGTTCTAAAAAGCCATGCTTAAGATTCTCAAAAATGGGATCAACAAGTAACTTTCTATGTGGTTGTTGTTTGGCAAATTTCTGAACTATTGCATCATAATCGACTGGTTTTTCATAATGAATACTCATTAAGCTAGGCCAGAGAGTCTCTTGGTTGTCATCATAGTCTGTAGGTAGCCCTTGACTAGGTTTAAAGTGCTGTTTGAGCATTATCAGCTGATGTTACTGGAATTGTACATGCAATTCGCAACAAGAGGTGGATGTTGTCGGAATCAAAAGCCTGTAGATAGACAGAAAGTGTAATGAATAAAGCTGTCATTGATCAACCTAAGAGAAATTTGAACCAAAAAAAATTGAGTTACTTCGAACCTGTAAGGTTCATCTGGTTTGTCCTTCATGGATTGCCATTTTCTCACCCAAATGATCATATTCAATGTCAAGAGTCTGTTGGCTTGGGGGATCTGACATATACATCTCACAGACTTCAGCTATGTCTACATCAAATGCTGCCCTACAGTACTATCAGTACATATCCTAACTGTGTCACTAGCGTACCAACGTACTAGCGTACTAACTCCACTTTTCCGATGAATGAACTGCGTCGTTATGTACTAGCGTTCGATTAATGGACTGCATGTCACTAGCGTACCAACGTACTAGCGTACTAACTACACTTCTCGAACAAGCATGAATGACTTACGTACCAACGTACAAGGGTTCGATTAAAGAACTGCATGTCTCGTGTGTACCAACGTACTAGTGTACTAACTTCGAGTCCACTTCTGCGACAACCATGACTGACCTGCGTCCTTGTGTACAAGCGCTCGACCAGAGGACTGCATTTCACTAGCGTACTAACTACACTTCTCGAACAAGCATGAATGACTTGCGTACCAACGTACTAGGGTCGATTAAAAGACTGCATGTCTCTTGTGTACTAGCGTACTAACATCACCTTGCGAATTATCACAAATGACTAGCGTAGCAACGTACTAGCGTTCTAACAGGGGACTGCATGTCACTAGTGTACTAACTACACTTCTCGAACAAGCATGAATGACTTACGTACCAACGTACTAGGGTCGATTAAAGGACTGCATGTCTCTTTTTAACCAATGTACTGTAGTACTCGGTACGGACAACTCATCACGGCTTGTTTATATCTTAGTACGTTAGTACTGTAGTACTCGGTACGGTCAACTCACCACGGCTTGTTTATTTCTTAGTACGTTAGCACTGTAGTACTCGGTACGGACAACTCATCACGGCTTGTTTATTTCTTAGTACGTTAGTACTAGAGTACTCGGTACGGACAACTCATCACGGCTTGTTCTTCATTTGTTTAGTGCCTTGGTACGTTAGTACCTTAGTACTTGGTACAGACACTCACCGCGGCATGTTTATTTGCTTAGTACTGTAGTACTCGGTACGGACAACTCATCACGGCTTGTTCTTCATTTGTTTAGTGCCTTAGTACGTTAGTACCTAAGTACTCGGTACAGACACTCACCACGGGTAACGTTTTCGGGCTTATAATGGGCAAGAATAATAAAAGAATAAACAAGCTAAATAAATACGTCTGATCAAACCAGCTTAATTCTTTTAATACCTTAATCATCCGTACTAAGCAAAAAAACTAGAAAAATGATTCCTATTTTGGGCATGGTATAGTCTACATTTGTGCATGCCACAGTGGTGCTTGGCACAAGGCCAAGCAATTCCATGGCACTCTTCTGAGTATACTCAAATCTGAAAAAAAAATTGCTGTGATGAATAAGCCTGTTTATTCAATTGTGCATTATACCAGTATATATATAAGGTTGAGTAACCAGTCAACCATTTGATAATTTATATAGATTACCTGAAAGACATTTCTTGTGTGATATGGTTAAGGAATGGAATTAACAGAATGCAGCAGTAATTGTGAAAACAGGGTTTTGCCTTCACAAATGAACGGACAGACAGGGACAACTCTTAAAAACTCTTTCTGGGTAAAGGCTTTCCTTGGGGGCACTTGCTGGCTGCGGGAAGGAACTGGAATCTATTATGGTTGCTGACTATCCTTGAGAGAATGACTAACGACAACAGGGTTGGCTCCAACGTAGATTTATTCTGCAATCTCTACTACAATTTTGACCAGAACGGACCTGGCCAGGGCTGGTTCGACCCTCCTCTTCTTTCTCTTCTCTTTTCCTCTCCTTTTTTTTTTTTCTTAAGCTTTACAAAACAGTCCTATTTAAACCTAACGTACATGGATAACGTAATGCCATGAATAATCTAAAGGATCATGTAATCTACTACACTATTGGCTAAGTAGGAATTTCGCCTTTTACAACATTAATTACTTTTAAAGAGTTCCGGTGGATAACAGTTACACAAAAGGACATGACAGGTGGCTGTTACAGGTTAACACTAATAACAACTGTTTACGGGTAACTGAAGGAGAACTGGTAGCGTTTACGCTTTGCTGAACTAAGCTTTCTACGTTGAATATTGTATTTTTAAGCGTAAGCATGAAAGAACTCGATAACTAAAAGTCCTATCGTTACATAATATTCCTCATGTTGTGAACTAATGGCAAGCTACATGCCTTTATGATAACGAAATTAAGGACATGTAATTGCAATGTACATACAAGGCTTTTAGGTTTTTCTGGGAAATTAAGCCTTGTATGCGTCTATCTTGGGAGGACATGTTTAAGGCACCATTGTAACCTTGACCTTGACAGTGGGAAATATCCAGGCCCCACTGGTCAAGTTTCCCTAGGATCAGTTGTGAGATCACCTCTCCAGTTATTCTTTCTGAAGACTGGAAACCTAAAAACTCAGTTTAGTTGTGAAGGAATCGTTTTAATATCTGCCATCAAGTGTTACATCAACTGCCTTATTCTTACAAACGTCCGTCCTTTTTAGTTTAAACACTCAAATGAGGCTACTACTAAACAATGCCTATTGTTACATCCTTTTCCTTATAAAGAAAACAAATTAAACAAAGACAAACAAGGTAAACACACACAAAAAAGCAGAAACAGAAACAGACAAACAAAAAACGCAAGTGAGTTCAACTGTTCAAAGTTTGTGGAACATAGAAAGCTTCGACACTGGTTACATCCCAGTAACATAATCCCTTAAATAATAATAATTAATATTAAAAATTTATAGTGCGCAAATTCCATAAAATGTTCAAATGCGCATTACAAGATTAAAAATTATCATTAAAATAGACTTACAATAATTTTAAGAAACGAGATAAAAAAAAAAAAAAAAAAAAAAAAAAAAAAAAAAAAAATAGAAATGCACTACGAAAAAGGTGAGTCTTCAGTTTAGCTTTAAAAATATTTACTGTTCTTGCGCTCCTAATATCCAGCGGTAGTTCGTTCCATAGTTTCGAGCAGCACAGGTAAAAGAACGGTCCCCAGTGTAGCTTTCGATTTAAATGATGGATGGCTAAGTAAAAGCTTATCACTGGAATTTCTTAAATTATATTTGGAGGGGGGTCTAAGGGAAATAAGAGAGGATAGATAAGAAGGGGCTAAAAATTAAGAATCTTAAAAGTAATTAACAATATTTTAAACTCAATTCTATATCTAATTGGTAACCAGTGTAACTTAAAAATTAAGGGCGAATATGACAAAATCTCTGTTCTTTAAGAATCAATCTGGCACAAGCATTCTGTACTCGTTGCAGCTTATTCAACAAGCAGTCCGGTAGTCCATATAATAGGCCATTGCAATAGTCCAGGCGGCTCGTTATAAATGCATGGACAAGAGTTTCCGTTGACTGCTGTGAAAGGTACTTTCTGATCCGGACGAATATTATAAATGTAGTAAAATGAAGAGGCACAAATTTTCGTGATGTGTGTTGCCATGGAGAGCCTTGAATCAAACCAGGAACCAAGATTTCTCAATTGGCACGGGATGTATGTCTGAGTCGCCCACACGTATACTGATATTGTCGAGCTTTCCCAGCTGTTGTGATGTGCCAATGATAAGGAATTCAGTCTTGTCGTCATTTAATTTAAGATCATTATTCAACATCCAAAGACGAATGTCTCTGATGCAGTCCTCCATACTCCTCACTACAGCAAGTTGCTCAGCTCTGTCGTTGGGACTGAATGAGATGTAAACTTGAGAGTCGCCAGCGTAACAATGAATCGTGGGCAAATGATATTCAATGATCTCAAAAGCTTGCTCGTATACAACGAAAAACAATAACGGACCCAGACAGGAACCTTGAGGCACACCGCATTCTAATTTAAAAGGTTCCGACAGCGAATCGTTAATCATTATCCGTTGAGTTCTACCAGACAAATAGGGACGTAAACCAGGAGAGGGCTTTCCCATGTATACCAAATGATGACTCAAGTCGACGTAGCATGGTGTCGTGATCAACTGTGTCGAAGGCAGCACTTAAATCGAGCAGAATAAGCAGAGTAACACGTTGACTGTTCATGTTAAGGAGAATATCATTCATAACCTTAAGGAGTGCAGTTTCTGTGCTGTGGTTCTGTCGATAGGCGGATTGAAACACTGGGAACAGATTGCCATTCAGATAATGCTGTAGCTGCTTGGCAACAACAGTCTCAACCAGCTTTGAGATAAATGCCAAATTACTCACGGGTCTGTAGTTCTTAAAAACAAGAGGTAATCCATCCTTCTTCAACAGCGGCCTTACTAGAGCACTTTTCCAGGTGCGTGGAAAATAACCAGAATCAAGCGAAAGATTTATTATTTTCGTGATCGGAGGTAGTAGCACATCGGCGAAAGTCCGTAAGAAGTTTGGTTGGAATAGGATCAAGAAGACAAGATTTCTTTGATGAAGCTTTGATTAAATCAAAACCTCTGATTCGGACAGGAGAGTAAATTCTGAAAAACAGGAAGCAGTCACAGTACTGGCAGCGTCGATGGTGACAGGAAGGCGGCTCTGGTTTGCAATAACAGACTTGATATCAGCAATTTTTTGAGCAAAGAATTTTCCAAAATCATTAGCCAACTGATAATCATTAGTCGACAGTGGGAGGCCAGGACCATTTGATAAATTCAGCAGGGACTTACTTGCTCTAAATAACCTTCTCTGGTCCGTGCTGTTCTCAGTTATGAAGTTTGTATAGTATGCACAACGAGCCTCGTTACTCAAAAACGTCACTCGATTTCTCATTGCGCGATAGGATAGTAAATCGATGTGTGCTTTAGAAGCCCTCCATTTCCTTTCAGCTTTCCTCCGTTGACGTTTAGCCAATATAATTTCATCATTCATCCATGGAACACGAGATCTAATAGTAACATTCTTTTTGCTTAACAGGAGCGTGCCGATCCAGCAGGGAACGCAATGTGTTGTTGAATAAGGCGGCCAGCTCGTCAGGATCTTCAGTATCCGTTTGAAGAAGCTCGCTGTTACAGATTTCATCCGCAAAAAGCAGACTTATCAATTGATCGCAACTTCCTAAATGAGACACGCCCAACTTTGAGAGGTGGTCGAGGTGTTTTCAATTTGAAAAGTAACGCTAGATGATCCGAAAATAGAATGTCAGGCGCTGGTCGACCGCTAATAAGGTTGTCTGACTTTCGAGTAATTACCAGATCTAGTGTATGACCAAGTTCATGCGTTGGTTCTGTCACATGTTGAGTTAAAGACATTGACTCCAATAAATCCAAAAAGCGACAAGCAGCTGAATCATTGTGATCATCAACATGGATGTTAAAATCGCCAGTTAAACACAGGACATTGTTAGATAGGATAACAGATTCAAGGTACTCAGAAAATTCGTCAATAAAACTGTTCACAGTCACAGGATGATTAACAGAGTACGGGCGGTCGATAGATGATTGCCAATCGAAAGCGTAGGGAGCCAGTGCAGACAAGGTATTCAGAAGATTCAAAGGAAATCCTTGAAACAGTTTCGAGCTTGGAAACATTGATGTTATCTCTGAACAAGAGGGCCGTACCTCCACCTCTACGATCACCCCTAGGGCAGTGTAACAGTTTATAGCCAGCAGGAGTTATCTCGTAGCACACAGCGGAGTCGTTGTCTGATAACCAAGTTTCAGTTATTGCAACTAGGTCGGCTTTGCATTCGCTGACATAATCAACAAACAGTGCAGATTTGTTTGAAATAGAGCGAGCATTTAACGTGCACATGGTCAGCTGAGTGTTCGATGTACTCAAATGGAGATCAGATACGCGGTTTACCTGCACAACGTTGGAGCGGTGGCTATGATGATGGCTTCGATGTTTAACTGCTCGACGATTTGTTGTAAAAGACGTAATTAGTGGACCAGGGTTCGGGCTGATGTCGCCACTGTTGTTAAGCGAAGACGCGTTAGGTTAAAGGAGGAAACGGAGTTCGAGTATGAGATATCCGAGCAGTGAAGTAGCGATGCGATCTTGTTGAAGATGAAAATCCAAGATGGCGGAACAAACGCATCGACGACGAGCAACTTGCACGGTATAAATCCACTTCATTAGTGGTCTTTGTAACTCCAGAATCATCAAGGGCATAAGATGGACAGAAAATGAGCGTATTTAGATAAATTAAAGAGCGACTTAAACAACAGAACAGATATAGATAAGTGACTATGGCGGAGCCGAGAAAATTACGACTGACCGCCATTTCGCCGCTGACCAGATTATACAAATACAGATTACCAAATAAGCTGGCTTCTTAACAACTCTGCATGATTGCATTGCTGCTTTGGTAGTATGACTGGATGTTTAGTATCTTCACTGATCGGTGAGCATTGGAGGCGACCTCCTACACATATGAGACCTCTCGAAAGGATTGGGTCCAATTTGCATATGTGACTTGATTTCTTCACACTCTTTATCTTCTGGGGGTTTGTGGTTTCAGGGCAGCATTCTGTAAAGACAGCAACTCGTCATTGAAACAGCGACTTTGGACGACCTTGATGATTTCTCTTTCGGCTTCCTCTAGCTCGTGGACCTTCAAGGCATCAATCTGCTGATCATGGTGGGACTGCAGCAGGTCTCCTTTCTTTCTTCTAATGACAGCATTTTGCAGCCGATTCCTGTATCGAGGTATCCACGCCACGAACCTCTTCAACAAGTACCACAACAAAACTCACTTGAAAACTTCTACAACGTTGTAATCTGGAGGACAAGTCGTGGTTGCAAAGGTGGCAGCAACTTCTAAAGATTTGTGTTTGATCTCCTCGCCGATTGCAACAAGCACATGGGGCCAATTTTCTTCGGACAGCCAAAGGAATTCTGGACCCTTTGTCCAGCAGTTACTTCTGATGATAGCCTTGGCAGATAAGCCCCTTGAGGCATTGTCAGCAGGGTTCGTCTTTGTTCCAACGTGATGCCATTGACTTGGGTTGGATTGCTCTGGATAGCAGCAACTTGGTTAGCCGCGAAGGTTTTGTATCTTCTTTCACTGTTAGCGATGTTGCGCAGGACACAAGTGCTGTCCGTTCAGTAGAAGGAGTCGTTGATAGGGAGTTCTACCACTTGGCGTATCATTCTGTCCAGTCTTGTGGAGAGTACAGCGGCAGACAGCTCCATTCTTGGGATGGTCACTGGCTTTAGAGGTGATAATTGGGATTTTCCCATAACAAACGAGCAGTGAACTTCGTGTTGGGCATTTACAAGCCTGAGGTAGGAAACAGCACCATAGGCCACCTGAGAGGCATCAGAGAAGTGGTGAAGTTGGCAGGAAATGATATCACCAAAATTCGGAGGCTTGAAGCACCTGTCGATAGAGAATTGTTCCAGTCTAGGTAGTTCCTCCAACCAACTCTTCCAGCACATTAGTCCTCTTCAGGGATTAAGTCGTCCCAACCAAGTCGCTTCTTGCTGAGGGTTTGAAGAAGAATCTTGGCAGAAAGATAGAAGGGAGCCACAAAGCTGAGCGGATCATAGATCAAGCTGATCATGGAGAGGATTCCTCTTCTGGTGGCGGGTTTATCTTTGGTAGCAATCTTAAAGCTAAACATGTCTAAAGTCACGTGCCATTGTACCCCAAGGGCTCTCTCCATAAGGGTGTGGTCAAAGTCCAGATCTCTGATGGACGCTGCCCGATCCAACACAGGAACAGATTCAATGACCTTGCGCTTGTTTGACAGCCATTTGGTTAGCCGGAACCTCCTCGTTTCAAGAGTTGTGATAGCTCACTTGATAGATGGATAGCATCTTCTTCTGAATCAACAGATTTTAAGCAATCATCTACGTAGAAGTTTTGGAGACCGTTCTTACAGCCTTGCTGCTGAAATCTGCTCGATAATCTGCTGCGGTTTTCTTCAAAGCAAAGTTGGCACAGCTAGGGGAAGAGGCCCCTGTAAGAGTTTGTCATCGAGAGATTTGCCGTGGTACTTGGCGGAACAGTCAAACACAACACGTACTTTTCCTGGTTTTGCTGGATGTTGGACAGCGTGATGGGGGAGATGCCATGTCTTGCCTTGTGCTTCGGCTGGCTGGGCTTTAGTTGCGTATCCCCTTTCAAGAGGTCTTCCATGCAATCTTTATACTTGGACCTCAGCTCTGGGCCTCTTGATAGGTGCCGTTTTAGCAGCTTAAGGCAATGGTCGACAACTGACCTATTGTTCTCCAAACAAGGAGGGTCGTTCTTCCAGGGTAGGGCAAGCTGGTAGTGGCCATTCTCCAAGCTGATATAGTCTCTCATTAACTCCATGGCGTGCTTATCGTTAGCTGACATCGATCTAGCTTCACTATATGCTGAGTCATTGAATTCCATGTTGCAGTAGCTCTGAAATCGTTCATTTAGCCGCAGGTTGGCCTTTGTGAAGTTAGCAGTGTGAGTGTTAGTGTCCGTAACCTTGCCTAGTGGACCATTAACCACCCAACCGAGGGTAGTTCTTGTAGCATAGAGTCCTCCATTCTGACTCAGAATAACCTGCTTGGGCTCCAGGATTACTGGAATGTCGCTGCCAATGAGCAAGCCAACATCCACATCAATATTGGGGATCTTCACTTCAGACAGATATCATCACCTTTCAACATCTTGTTGGTTCGCAACACTTTCAGTAGTGATAGGGAGGCTTGGTCTTGTGAACACGACTGGAACTTCGAAGATATTTTCCTCATCCAAGTCTAGTACTTCTAAACTAACAATCCGACAGTCGGTTTTGCTGTCCTCCTCCGTAGTTGTTAACGACAATGTGGTTCTCTTTCCGTTCAAGTTCAGTTCCTTTGCTAGCTTCTCTGAACAGAAAGATGCGTTGGAGCCGTTGTCCAAAAATGCGTACATTTGAACCATCCGATTGGAGCCCTTTGCCTTTACTTTAACTGGCAAGATAGTGAGACCGGTTGCAGATGCTTTAATTTGTTCGTTGTGCGGACCTACAGCTTCATTTCTTCCATTGACAAAGCCGTTGTGAACCCTCTGGCCAGGCACAAGGCAGTTATCGCAAATGTTCTTGGAGCGGACGAAATTAAATCTGTCTCTCAAAGACTTCTTCTTAAACTTGTCACAATGGGACAGCCAATGTTGGGCATTACAGAGAGGACATTTCTGGTTGTTGCCATTAACTGGTGTATGGCTTTCCTGCTGTGAGCCTGTGTCAATGGCAAAGTTAGACGCCTTAGGGGGTGACTTGTTTCTGAACTTTGTTCCTCCCGGAGGTACTGGGTTGTCCTTTGTAACATTTCCAAAGATGGCGTGTGTGGCAGCATGAGCCTTTGAGGTAACAAAATTATCTATGTCCTCTATTGTAATTTCCCGTTCTTCAGTTTTGATAATTCTGTCAGTGATGTCATGCCACTTCAGTTTCAATCCATATGGCAGCCTGTTAACGAGCATTTTTAGGGTATCTGGATTCTCCACTTTGCTAAGAAAGCTGATCTCCTTTAGAGTATTCTTGCAGCCAGTGAGCAGAATCGAGAACCGTAGTGCGGAGCTATCCTCTGCTTTAATGGGTGGTCCCTTTGTTAAATTGTTAACGTAGGCAGTAGCAATCTGGTAGCTTTGACCTTATTGTTTCTTGAGTTGACTCCTAGCTTCCTGATATCCTTCGTCAGGTTTTATAGATAAACAGCTGGACACTAACTCTTGTACCTCTCCAGATGTATATTGCACCAGGTAGTATAATCTTGCCCTATCACTGGCGGTTTTGCTTTCAATCACGTTTTGAAAGGCTCGTATGAATCCCCAGTACTTGATAGGGTCTCTGCTAAATGTAGGCACCTCTGGCTGAGGGAGTGTCAGGACAAGCGTGCTCTCTTGTTGTAAAGTGTGTCTTAAAGTGTGTCTTTATTGTTCAAAAGATAAAATTACATATCTTATGTTACATTAAAAAAAGGATGTAAATAAGCTTAGGTGTATCTAAATAAGATAAGTATATACGTGGAAACAAATACAAAAGTCTAATATAGGAAGTACACTTTTACAAAGCTACATTGTACTTAAAAACAATTCTATTAAAAAATGTATTCTTAAAACGGTTTGTGCGAATGGCGGGCATGACAGGGGATTTATTTCTCAAATTATACCTCGTGGTCTTGGTCTCAGGGAAGTAGGCTCTAAGAGGATGGCTCAGGATAGTTGAAACCTTGCGACAAATTTTGTGATCTTGCGTTTTAAGTAAGTCACCTATCACTAATTTCTTAGATATGTAACTACGTTTAAAACAACGATCTAAAAACTGCTGGGCTATAGTTAGCTCTGACTCAGAGGCCCCATGCACAGATAGAGCATAAGTAATATTAGGTAGGACAATGGAATTAAATAAAACATCTACTTCTGCTTGGCTACATCCTTCTTTGCGGAGGCATCTGATAACGTATAAACATTTATTAGCTTTACCTAACTTTTCTTTTAGGTGAGTACTGAATTTGCAGTTCGGCTGAAACGTGAGACCAAGAATGGTTATTGTACTAGTCTGAGGTATGCCAAAATACTTTTGTAGGCCTCAGCAGTGTGACCTTTTTATACATAATAAGCTCTTTACATTTAGTAGAATTTGAATTCATTCTATTTTGGCTTGCCCACTGTAAAAACTGATTTATTAAGTCTACAGAGTGATCTTTATAATAATATACCGAGCAATAATCGTACAGTCATCAGCGTATTTGAAACCAAGTGTCTCGTTCCCTAATTTAATTTCCAGATCGTTAAGAAATATATTGAACAAATAAGGTCCTGAAACACTACCCTGGGTTGTGCCCTTGTTAACTGTTTTCCAATTACAGACATGATTCCCGAAAATAACTCTTTGTTTTCTATCTCGCAAAAAAACCTAACCACCAGTTTATGATATACGGGTTAAGTGGTAGACTCTTAAGTTTCTCAGCAAGGAGTTGATGGCTCACAGAGTCAAAGGCCTTACTGAAATCCATCGCGAACATCCGCACTGCCTTGCACTTGGGATCATCAAGAAACTTGCAGATCTTATTCTGTATAAGTAGCAGAGCATCTGTGCAGCTCCCTCCTTCTCTATACGCGAATTGACTATTCAACAGCTGTTCTTCTACCGCCTTTGGGCGTGAATCTTACAGACTGCCTTTTCCAGGGCTCTTGCTATTACAGGGGTTACGTTGATCCCCCGGAAGTCCCCTCTTGCCACTGGAACATCAACTTTTGGCAGTGGGTTTATACTTGCCCTTTTCCACGATCTAGGCCATTGGTGCGTAGCGAGAGACAAATTCCATAGCTTAGTAATGATTGGAGTGAAGATCTCCGCATGGTCTTTCCACACCCAATACGGAATTTGGTCAGGACCAGTTGCAGTCTTCTTTAGAGTACTCAGTGAGTTCCATACATATCGTTCACTAATTTCCGGGACTTTCACCTCAGGACCAATTTCGAGTAAAGCGGGCTCAACGTAATCGCCATCCGTACACAGGTCACCGAAATACTCGTTCAAATCTTGAGCGGTCTCTCTATCCAGCGAAACGTTTGTGGACCGCCGGGCGTTGAGATATCAAGTCTACGTTTTTCCACCATTCTCTGCTCCCCATTTTGCCCTCCAGAAGCATCCTTCTGTTTTCGCCAATAACCTTCAACACATTTCTACTAAGCTCTCTATGCTTATTAGTGCGTAAAACAGAGATGCGAGACTTGCTACGTAGCATGTATTTAACTAGCGGTGTCATCCAACTTGGATCACGGGACGAAAGGGAAACCGTTCGTAAAGGCATGCACCAGTTAATATTTGACAGGATCTTCAATTCTAAGATGTTCACAGCTGTTTCGATACTATCCGCCTCCAAAACATCATCCCAGCATTCTGATGCGAGGGCAAGGTAAAGAGCTTGCTTCCTATGCTCACGACAATCCCTAAATTGCACTTTCTTACGAATAGGCTTGAGTTTCTTGCCCGCTGGAACTATAAATCCAATGTGATCCGTCTTAATCAGCATCTTTATAGATAAAGCTTTTCCGAAGAGCTCTGGCCTATTTGTAAGACAATTATCCAAAAATGAATCCCCTCGCTGTAGCTGAAGTAACTGTTGCATCACGGAATTCTGCTGGCTTTGAGTAGCTAAAAACCTTTCGAGAAATGTGTCGGGCAGGCCACGTTCCTTTTTAACAGGAAGTAAAGGAGACGGCTTATTAATTACTGGTTTTAGGCCATCGCATGGCCAGCTGTTGGCGTTCAGATTGAGAGGTTTGCTAACTTTAGGAACTTCAGTAAAATTCTGAGGTCTGTTATCAGTGTTATCCTTGTTTTTTGGCAGTTGGCATTCTGATGAGCATTCTTTTGTGCGCTTTCAGAGCGTGTAGGCCGGTTGGCAGCTGGATCTAAAGATATAGGGGTTCCCACGGGATCTGCCTCTGCTTCTGCGTAGATTAACTCCTCAGCTTGTGCTTTTCCGATTTCTGTTTGGAGTTCCAAAGCTCTTCTTCATTGCTGAATGCCTAGCTCTTCCTTTTGGAGGGCGTGGAAGCTTTCAAGGCTTGCAGCTTCGGCTTGTAAAACTGCTCGTTTAGCGGCGGCCTTCGTCCTAGTGGCTGAAATTGAACTCGCGTGAGAACTTGCTAGGGAACCAATCAACGAACTTTTTCTCAAGCAGCAAGATGACTTTGAAATGGCACGAGAACCGGCGTTGCTAATTGAATCCTCAGGATGTAATTCTTCTCAAGACTGTAGTGACCTTGTTTCAATAGCTGTTAACGAGATCCAGTTACCGACATCGCATGCCAAATCTGTTCCTAAGAGAACCGCGGCGTCATAATAATCATTTGACTCTTTATTTTCGTTTTCGTCACAAAGGTGAGAATGATAAGCGGCATGGGCTTCCTTAAAGTCTTGTAAGAATTGTTTGAATTCTTCGATTCTGTCCTTTACTAGATTGTAGTTAGGAATTACGGTCAACTTGCCGACGCCAACGTATAAAATCAAGTAGAGATGTCGGCGAGTTGGTCCTCAATCCAATACAACTTATTAAAAGTTAAACATACAGAAAGTAAACGATATTTAGTAAAAAAACACTGGTGAACATCGGTGAACATCAAACCATCAAACAGAAGCTTAAACATTGGTGAACATTGGTGAACATCACCAATGACTATAACTGCTTAAGAAGTGAATGAGTTATTGTGCGACAACAACACTGTTTGCTTTATTCGTATTGAGATCCTTATAAACTTTGTTGCAAATAAAAAGAATTGCTTTTTACAAAAGATCTTGTCTAGAAAGCCAAGTTTTCTTTAAAAAATCTGAGCGATTGACATGATTAGTCTTCACGGTGTCGTTGTTGCACAATAACTCGTTCGCGTCTTACGCTGTTATAGTCATTGGTGATGTTCACCAATGTTCACCAATGTTTAAGCTTCTGTTTGATGTTCACCAATGTTCACCAGTGTTTTTTTAACTAAATATCGTTTACTTTTCTGTATGTTTAACTTCTAATAAGTTGTATTGGATTGAGGACCAACTTGCCGACGTCTCTACTCGATTTTATACGTCGGCGAGTTGGACCGTCGGCAAGTTGACTGGATATCGTTGTTAGAATTCAGCATCAACCCTTTTATTTCATTTTGGGCCTTAGTAAGAATTCCTTTTTTAGAACTTCTGCTCCTTTTAAGCTGTAGGAGTTTTTCGGATTGAACTCCGTCCCAACCGAGAGTAGAATTTGATTCACATTCACTATCTGTGTTTTGTTCGCTTTCTTTGTCGGCCATAACCGGTGTAGGATTTCCATGCGCGTGTTGTGGAACGTGATAGCTTATTGCATAACTTAAAGTAAACACGTGTTTCAACTGTTACATTAGCTAGCGCAGCCAAAGTCTTCGTAAAGGTAGAAAATCCAGCGATAAATGATGAACAACGCGAAACTTTGCGTCAAATTCAAACTGATGTGACTTTCCAGGAGTGAAGCCATGCGTAGGTTACGACTTAACCCCAGGAGCTTGAAATACTTGAACGCACATAATTCAAAGTAACCAGATCACATTAAAATCAATCTTTAGCATTTATTCAAAGGGAACGATGAATCAATAATACAAGAATCAGGATTACGGAACTAGGATGTGGTTGTGAAGGCAAGTCGTAGTCAATGATGATTGAGTGGTTCGAACTAAAAGCAAACCGATACAAAAGGCTTATGTAAACTAATACTAGCTAAGATACAAAAAATAAATCAAGGACACTGATGGAACATAGATCTTAAACTATGATGACACGATTACAACTAAAAATATGGAGCAAAGATTTACTTTGATCTCGCTCCAGCGAGGGTAGCAATTGATGAAACGACAGCTTAGAATGATAGCGGCGACAGCGATAGTTTAAATAGTGAGAATGTAGATGGCACAACTAAACTGTTAAAAAATGTGGTGTCTCTAATTACATGATTCCAAAGGTTATATTGCAAAACTTGCATTGATCACAGCAATCACAGCATGAATGACAAAAACTTGGAAAATGTACAAATCGTTAATGAATAATAGTTATGTAAACAAAACACAGGGAAGAAAACGAGTTATGAAAGCAACATCTGCCTGTTTGCATTGTTGGGCCTTGCACAGATAACCCACTAGGCTGAACAAGTGGCTCTGGTTGCTGAGATGCCATTGCATGCCCATTGGTCGCATCCACTCGACCACTGGGTAAGTTGTTGGAGAGCTCATGACCAGTCTGTGCTTGTTCAGGTGAGGATGTTAACTGTTGATCCGATTGCTCAACGCCTCCTTCAGCCACCAAAGCAGGTCTTCAACTCCAGCAGGCCTCCTTTGTTTTCCTCAGGTGACGGTAATTTCAACGATATCTGGCTCCATCTTTGGTAGCCACCTCAAAGGATCGAGTTCCAACACACCTTCAACCTTTGCTTTCACAGCTTCTTTACTCGGATTTCCAGGCGGCACAAGTCGCACTGTATCTCCACTTCTAAGTGCTCCCAGATCCTTAGCTCCCCCTATTGTAAGCAAGGACTTGTTGTTCTTTCTTGGTGAGAAGCCCAAGAGAATGGCATTTAGTTCTAAGTAATAATTATGATGGCTTTCTTCTGAACTGGACCACTCTCCGAGTTGTGGTGTCATTCAGGTTTGCACACACCCTTTAGTAGAGGTGTGAGTGTAGCAGGTATGACTTGTCTTCCTATGATGAATCCCCTTGTTAGAGGTCAGAGCATTTCTCATCCACCAAGAAATATCTGCAGATGCCAATTTAGATAAAAACATAGTTTGTTCAAAATCCCAGCTGTTATTTTTAAGAGCCACAGTTTTTTCTATCTTTAACTGATAATAGAAAAGTTCTCTGTACTCTACACTTGGGAAGCTGGAAACCATCATCCCAATTAATTGGGTTACCTCTCTAATAGTGGGTGATTTGCTTTCAAGGATTCTTTGGGCTGCAAGTTGCAGCTTTTTATATTTCTCTACTCTCCAGAGAATTTAAAGTAAACCCCAAGTGATGGAAGATCTGGGTTGGCATTGTCACTGATTTGACTTCACAAGGCAGGAAACCTAAATCGTGATGCAGGGTCAGGGTATCATCAATGTTGGGTTGGCACTCCTCAGGGGAGCATCTTAATAAAGAGGAGTCATCAAGGCAGCCACTTCAGATATGTCCTAATTCCCTGAGGAATAAATACTCAGGTTTCATAAGTTTGATGAAGAGACAGGGGGGCGGAAGAGCCCCTGAGCCAAGCATGTAAATTGATATGGGTTTCCCTGCCATATGAATTTAAAATATTTTTGGTGTTCTTTAGCATTAGGTACTGAGTAGTAGCCCTCCCGTAGGTCAATGGATGCCATGTAACAACTTGGTCTCATGAGCTGGGAACAAGTATGGATGGAATAATGAAAAGTAGAGGCGTGAGTGTAGAAGGTTTGTAAAACAAAGGCATCAAGATCCTTTAATTTCAGGATCATACATTTTAACTGTGATCCCTTTTTCTAGGAATTTGGATATTTGTTCATTGACATTTTTACTTTCCTGAGCTGAAAAATTAATTTTCGTTGGGATGGTAGACTGTATTGGGGTAAAGGGAAAGTCTATTTTGTATTCCCTTACAGCATTCAAGATGCTGGGATCATGTGGTAATGGTTTCCATTTCCCAAGTAAATGTTGAATTTGACTTATTAGCTGGTCTACCTTGTGATTTAGTTTGGCAAGGCTCAACTTGCCAGTCGGTTGTCCTGTACATGTGACACTGTGAGGTCTGGCTGTGTCAGTGAGTGGTGCTTTTGTGGTGGTGCCAGGTTGAACATTCCCAGAAGGACAAAGTGTGCTTTGCTGCTCAGATGAAATTGGTGTCTTATTCTGCTTTTTCCAATAGCCCATCCATGCTATTTTCCATGGAAAGGTGAAAATCACCCTTAAAAGGAACTGAATAGCCACACAAATCTCTACCAGATGTAGATTGACGGGGAAAAAACTCAATTGAAAACCAACCATGCTACTAGATGGCGATTGCTCGAGTAGAATGACCAACCATGCGCATGCATAGTATCTCATGGGATCTCTGTGGTAGATGACTGATAGAATTAGACATATAACTTCTGGTGTAAACAGCATTGATCTTTAATGTAGGTTTGAGGACTGACCAACCAATAAGTTTTAAAATAGTCTATTTGTCTCATTGTTCAATTTGGTAATAAAAACTGTCAAACATAATTTGACTGCTACACTGTTAAGCACATTAACAGTAGAGTATTTTTGGTTTGAAAATTCTTTGACAATTCACTTATTCATATATTACTTTTTTTTTCCAATATTTACTCCAAGCTGTATGTAAAAAAGTAAGTTGAGAATTTACACATGTTATTACTATCATTATCATACCACATTTTTCTTATGATTTAAAGTTTTAACTGTAACAATAAATAGGATGGCATTCTCTGATATTTTCTAAATTTTTTACAAGTTCTAAAACTTGAAAACTGGATTAAAAAACTTTTAAGCTGCACCAAATAAGTTGTAAGTGAATTTCTGCCACAAAATTTAAAGCATAAGTACCTAAACCTTAACTAAATATTTTAAAAATGATATTCCCAAAAACTACAAGATGCTTCAGTATTTGCCTTGTTGTAAGAAAACCATCATTTAAGCGAAGAACAACACTCTAAAGTTTCCAAAACTTGTTTTGATAGGACTTTTTCCACCTCAGTGGTGGATTTTGGATCGCAATATTCATTTCATACTACATTCTAAATGCATAAGTATAAAATGAGAACAGTAAACAAATTGCCAAACTCAACACCTCTTTTACTTTTAAACCTATGTAAATCATGTTGTTATAATACCAGTAGGTTGAACATTTTCTTTTGTATCTAAAATGTATAGTATTCAAATGTCCTTTATGACAAAGGAAATGGTGGAGTATCTTCTGGTGCCTCTCAAGTAGATGGAGAGCCATCTTTCCTCTCAATCATCATCGAGGCACTCCCCTGTGATTGCTTTCTTGCACTCCTTCTATCCAATCGACTAAGTAGAGAGTTTAGTTCATTGCTCCTTCACATGAGAGACCTACACAGCACCTTTTGGTTCAAGGGGGCTTTGTCCTTAGAACTGTTGTTCCCAGCACTGTTGTGCTCAGACATTGAATGTTCTGAGGACATGTAATCCACAGACAAGAGACACAAGCGGTATTTATCTTTTTCCTCTTTCTTGATAGATGTACATTGAAATAGAGCTTTACACAGATAACATACTTTTACTCAACCAGAAAAGTGGTCCTGTAGGTTATCAAAACCTTGGCTGTGGCTATGAAGCTTCCTCTATTGCCAGAGGTCCTTTCCATTGAGTTGAAGAGAAAAGAATGGGTTGTTGCTGCCCATCAATGGTGCAGAGATATTTAAGAAAGCAGGAATGATTGGGGATTCTACGAGCTTGGAAGAGAGCTCCCAATATGCTGTATTTCTTGCATGGAACACATGACTGAAATTGTGAAACTATTGAAACTTAGGTTGTGTCAGTGATTGAAGAAGACATGTTTAAAGGAGCTTTTTTCCCTGAAGCTAATTGTTTTGAGGAAGGGAACAGTAGTTGTAACATTAAAACCAAGTAGACAACAGTTGCCAACAGTTACACATCTGAATTCAATACATTTGTCTGTAAATAAGACTTTGCTCTAATAATCAGCTGTATTGAAGTTTAAAAACATTGCTAGACATATTTAACTAAATAAGTGACTTTGTTTCTGTGTTAAACATAAAGACCAGTGAAAGGAAAAAATCCTAATAGCAGACATGCAAGAGAAAGCATGCAAAAACAGTAGGTTCCATGAACCTCCAACCAAGGATTGAGGTTGATTGCCAGATTTTTTATTTTATGCGATTGCTTATTTTCTATTTCATTAACATCTCTTCAATCAGGAGTGAAAAAGTTGAGGGATGCTTTCAACAATGGGCATGTGACTGCAACAATTGTTAAGCTAGAACTAGTCTATCTGGCGACAACAATAGCTGGAGTATGGTTTCCATAGATCTTAACAATTGCCTAATATTTGGCATTGATCACAGCAATCATAAAAGCTTTTATAGTTTTTTAAGCATTGTCTAGTTGCCACCTCAATTTCAATACTAATTTGGTGGTGTGTGCAGCAAAGCCTCATGTGGTATTGAAAATTTTGAGTTTATTGTTTGTGAACAAGTACAGGTAAATCCTGATAATTCATGAACAATGAGCATGTTAACATTTTCATTCAAATTGAATACACTACACAAAGAAACACTTCATTGAAACCACTGTATTCTAGGTAAACCAGACATGTTAATTTTATATTCTTGAATGAAAAACCTTACCTTTCAAAATAGATATTCCCCAAAATGTTGTTCAGCAGTACTAAGTCCACACAGATCTGTATTTGTCTGTGGGCTTTGGGTACAGGAACAATTTACAAGAATGCAACGATAAATAAATAAATAAATAAATAAATAAATAAATAAACAGTACCTACAGTAGTGGGACACCCAAAATAACTAAAAAGCTAAACTAGTTGGGTGACAGTAATTATGATAATTAAAAATGTGAGAGTCAGGAAAGAGGCATAAAAAATACATCGGTACACATAATTATCATAAATCTGGTACAGAAGGGAATATACAGAACAACACAAAACAAAATAAATAAATATAAAATATCAGTAAAGGTTAATGGAAACTAATGAAATGCAATGTTCTTTTTAAAATTAATTGG